TTGAAAAGATTTTAAAAGATTTCCAAGATCTTAGTATTATACTTGTTTAATTCAGAGCCATTTTTAAACTAAATTCAATAAAAATGGCCAGAAAGAACACCTAGAAAGAATCAGAGGGTATGATAACTATCACTCATGAGATGAAATTCTCTTTAATTTTTGACAGAAAGGGGAAGAAAAATGAATGTCAGAAACAGTGCTCCCATTCTTACTTCTTTACATATATATTTATAGCATACATATATATATTCTTAGCTGTATATTTTAAAATAAATTTAATACAAGTGGAGGGGGAAAAGGCATGTGTTTTATTCAAACAGCATTTGCTCACACTTAAATCTAATTCTATTTGAATAATTTGATCAAAGGCAATATAAAATTTACTTAAGGAGTCATTTCTAACATCTTCAACACAAAACCCAATACTCTGTTTACTATTTGAAAAAAACACATTGAGAATGAACAAAAATTAAAATAAAGCCAGACTTCAGAAGAATATGATGAATAAACTTCTCCTCCTCTGATAATGTTATCTCAGAAGCTCCAAGCAATGAACATTTCAGAAGTGCTCGATGTCATCATAAGCTTTAAAAGCATATCTTTGAACCAAAATCTCACCTGACCAAGGAAGAAACACTGAAATCTAACAGCAAGTGACAAATACTTCATAGGCAAAAACAGAGAATTCAACACTCTTGAGATGAGCTCCAGAGGATAATGACCTGCAGAATAATCAACTGAGCCAACAATCAACTGCACTCATGGCATCTCTGAAGTTACGAGTTTTTTCACAGACTCAATATCCATGCCAGTACTAAAGCAGTAAAACATCAGTGCCTTTACCTCAACCACATCTCACACAGGAGTTTCAGTGGCTGTTGAAAAGTACCCTGTGAGCACCAGTGTGGGACTTTGCTCTGCTCCAGGTCTTACTCCACATCTGGAACATCCACTTCCATCCTCAGGGCAAGACTCTGTTCAGCTGCACTTGGCTTTTGGCATGGGGGACCTCCTACATTTCATAGTGGAATGTACAGCAGAGACTTCCATTAATCATCCATGCCTTATCTCTGAAGTACCTGAGTGGCACAGCAGACTGTGTCCAGCAGTATCATTTATCCATGTTTTGGCCTCACATGCAAAACCCCAATCCCACCTTTTAGAACATTTATACATATGTAAGTCAAAACTACTGCTACACTTGGATTAGTACCACAGTGAAGAACTTCCATGGTTTTGTCCAACATTACCCAAAGTAAACTGGAGAATTAATGAAATTAATCTTATCCCAAACACTCTTCTTGATTAGTTTCCCTCTATTCATTACTTTAATAAATTGAAGAGAGCACGTCCCCAGGAAACAACGCAGTCCTTGGCTACTGCAAAACCAGACTCATCACACAGCAGACCATTTCACCTCTTTTGGCCAATTCCAGTTTATTATTGAAGATAAATCTCATAGTTTCAAATGGTAATGACAGCCACATCTTAAGTGTGCAGTGGGAAAAAGCCTTGTTTGCATATCACATAGCTCCTCTTCTTCATAAGGAGTAGACACATCACCTACTAAATCAGTCTCTCAAGATGGATAATAATTTCTCCCTCGGATAATTAAATATATGCGTGAATTTCCCTGGCTGTGTCTCCACTGCATTTCCTGATGTTGATTATAGCTGGATCTTGAGGCATGATCTGTTTTGGTTTTGTTTTTTAATGTATGCTTTCTCAGAAAATCTGCAACAGGAATGCAGAAAATATAGGTAGGCCACAACGACAGTAAGGCTTTGTGACTCTTCCAGTGATGGTAAGCAAACTCAGGGAAAATACAGAAGTTCATCTGTGTAATTATGCTGAGCCAGTGTCACAGCATACTGCCAAAGGTACAAGTTGATGTAGCAGACTCTCATTGGGATTAAATCCAACCACATTCAATCCTCTCCCCGGGAAACCTAAACTGAAAGCACAGCCATGAGAAGGGCCAAGAAACATGACACACTAAATCCATTTGATGTTTCTTATCATTCACTACAACTCCTTATCTTTTTAACAATTCATGCAAGCAGACCTGGCAATGACTACTGGTAAGAGCTCAGGCACAAGGACCAGTGCTAAAATACAAGCATTATCTGAGCACTTCAGAGGGAAGAACTGAGAGCAGATTACAGCTCTTGTTTTTCTCAATATTCAATCTAAAATGAATAAATAGAAATGACACACTCAACTGGGTTGGGCTGACTAGAAAAATCCTGTTTAACTGTTGGTGTGTTTAATTTTGCTTATAAGTATTTCAGTCAGTTCATGAACACTATGCCCAAAAAGCCAAAAAACATGTCTGAGTAAACACAAAAAAAAATTAGGAATTAAACACAATTTCTGAGCTTGCCCTGACAATTCTAAATCAAGTCAACATCTTCTCTAATTATAGAGATTTCCATAGTATTAAACCAAAAACGCATACTATAAAGTTGAATATACTGTACTTTGGAAATCTCAGATTCAAAAGATACAAGCTAAGTGGGATACAGAACATTAAAGAGGATACTAAAATAGCCTTACAGTAAACCCTATGACAGCCACTCCTGAGTTTTTAAAATTAAGAACTACACACATTGTAAAATAAAATATAACTATGCAGGAAGTCTTCTGACAAGTATCAAGTAAAAGATAAAGAAAACATGTGAAGATAAAGGGTTCTGATTAAAAACCTAGAAGTGAATATTCTAAACTATATCTTTAAAGACCTCAAGTCTTACCTTCCTCTTTCTTTTCAAGTTTCTAACAGAAAAAGAAGCATTCATTTTTTTTCTATTAGACCTTGCTAAAACTCGGTTCTTCAGCCACGTAAGAGTGAAAACCTAACTGTAAGTGAAAGTCTAGAGCACCATGTTCTTTAATTCAGTGATGGGGACCTTCACTAGATTATTTCATAGCTATAGGACAAGATACTGCAAAAGCCAAATGATACATCATTAAATTGTGTTTTCTTCCTCTCCAGGCAAAGAGTGAGAACAGCATTAGATTAGTTTGAAGGACTAAAAAGAAAACGAGGAAGAGGGGTCTGCAACATGAATGAGAAGTGACAAAGCTAATACAATTTTTAAACTCCTTTTATTTATATAATCAGGCATAAGCATTTACTTATGTTAATTGTGGAAACCTCTAATGTAATACAGACCCCAAATGAATTCCACATCACTGCATGCTTCAGTGTTTCATGATCTCCCTTGCACATGCCTAGTGAAAGTCTGCCACTCTGCAACAGACGAAGGAATTACTACAATAAAACCATAGGCAGACTTCGCTACAAACTATATTTTTTGATACGAGCAGAATAAACTGAGTGTTTTAAGTAACAGATAGGTTTGCATCCCACTGTCTAGCAACAGCTATTCTATTTGTGTTTCACAGCATCTTCAGAGAGTCAGAAATATGAACCACAGGAACACTATCCGTAAACTGCACTGAAACAAATGACATTCCCCTCAGCCAATTTACCCTCAATAATCTCCATCAACCATTACAGGAAATGTTTACTTTATCATTCAGCTATAAACTTGAGTTAGTTACATGTTCACCGTATGGACATTCCAACATTTTTAAATCATATCATGTCAATATTTTATCTATTAAAAAAAGTGTATTTCAGTGCATAAAAAGATCTCTTACTGCTGACAAATCAAAGTGCATTAACCTGGGAAACCTTAAGACTGCCACACACACCCACACACTCCTTTTGGCTTCAGATCTCACTGATTAGAAAATGAAATATCCAAAACTCAACAGACGTTTCATGCACATTGGCATTTTCTGCAGGACATGTTTCCAACACTGCAACTTATACTTTCATCACCATTAGCAAGTTATTTCCTACACACATACCATGCCCTGCTGAAACTACCATAGTCAGTGGAACTGAGCTCCTAGTGAAACATCAGACCTTAGCTATAAATCTGTGTAAATGCTTTTATTCTGTGCTGCTTTCATGTTAGAACGCAACATGCATCAAGGTCACTGTAATAGATTGCAGTTTTCAGGCTCATAGAGATGACATGGAGGAAATCAATAAGAGCAAACTTAATTAAACACTGTCTAAAGTTCTGCCTTCTTCTAAACCTGCCCAGAATTCACATATCTATTCCCTGCGTTTCAGAGGCAGGTGTTTCATAGATATGGGAAGGCAGGCAGCTTAGCTTATATGTTATCACTGCTGAAAAGTGAACAGAACTCATTCTTTACAGTGTGACAGGTCTGCTCTGAGCTCTCTGAGTTTTTAGCTGGAGATTACAGCCCCATGGGCCTCCTCCTTTGAAGTGGAGTTCCTCTGAGAGCAGAATTAGTCCCCTGCCTGCAACCTGTCCTCCATACATTGAAATAAATTACAGTCAACTTTTTTTTCGTGGCTATGTCAAGTATAGCAATAAATATCCACAGGCTAAAAGTAAGCAAACAAACAAGGCTGGACAAACCATAACCTCACAGCAAGAGCATCTCAATGGAAATCCCTAAGCAGGGCACAAAAAAGTTATAGGCAAACAAATCAAAACTCTGGGTTCACTGTCTGAATTCATAAGTGAGTATGAAAGGCTGACATGCATTCTGCCTCTTTCCCACAAGAAGCACTGATAGAAAGCAATTAAGGGACTCCTACAATTTAGTTACAGCTCAGCACAAAGGAGAAGGCATTTTATATTAACGCCTGTAAGAAGGCATCACCTCTTAGAGTTGCAGAAGTGGGAAGCGCTGGGACATGGAGCTTCCTGCCCGGCTGTGCGCCGGAGCACCGCATCGGCGGGATGCCCGCGGCGGACTCCGGCGGAGTTGGAGGGGGCTCCCCTGCAATCCCGGCCACCAGCCTCCCGCACCTTAGCCCCTGAGAACTGCCGCTGGCGCCGCCGACCATCCTGCCTCCAAACCAGGAGCGTGCGACCAGCGGCTGCAAAAAAAAAGTCGCTCGAGACGAAGAGAAGGTAGCGAAAAGGCAACAGAAAAGGAGCGCTTACTTGCCTATACAGCACAGCCGGACGACCTCCTCGCAGCTGGTGAAACGCTGTGCCACTCGCCCTCCTCCCACCGCTCCGCGCTAGTTCCAAAATAATTCCACCGGGTGCCGGCACATCCCCGGGGCTCAGCCGAGGAGCGCAGGGAGCCCCGGCCGCCATCGCCCCCCGCCCGGTGCCCATGGTGCCAGCCACAGCCCCGGCAACTCGCGATCCTTCCCGCCGGCTGCTACCTCGGGGCGGGCCGCCGGCCTAAACACGGCATCGCACCCCAGCCCCAGCCGCCGCCGCGGGCTCGAACTCCGCCGCCGTGCCCGAGGGGGAGCGTTGGGTCCCGCGCCCTTCCCGGAGACGAAGCGGGGGCGCCGGGCGGGGAGTGCGGGAGGCAGCGCCGCCCCTCGCGGCGGCGCCAGCGGCCAGGCGAGGCGCGGCGAGGCGAGGGAGGCGAGGCGGCGCCGCCGCCAGCGCGGACCGCAGCCAGGCGCGGCGATGCGGCCGCCGGCCCGGGACCCCCGCCCGCCCCCTCCGCTCCCGGGGCGCTCCGTAAACGCCGCCGCCTGCCGGCGCCACCAGATCCGGTGACGCGCAGCCCTGCCCCCGGGCGGGCCCCCGCGCGGAGAGGGGCGAGCGGCGGTCGAGCGGGCCCCGCTTCCCGACCGGCCCCGAGAGGGTGAGCTGAGACCACCGGTGAGAGGCAGCCCCGTCCCGCCGCGGCGCGGCCGGCGGACCCCGGCGGGTAGGGGCAGCGAGCCTCCCGGGCCTCGGCCCTGGAGCTGCGCCCGGCCCCGCCGGGGCGGCGGTGTTTTCCCCTGGTCGCGGAGTGCCCGGAGCCCGCGAGCTCTCCTCGGTCCTGGGGGGCTGAGGCTGTCCTCTCGCCCCATGCCACGGCGGGAAAGTTATCCACCCCCCTCCCGCCTCAGCGAGCCTCCGCTTTTGCTCGGCTGCCCCGGCTGCCTTTTCTCCCAGCCGTATGACTGGGTATAGGCTGGTCGCTCGCCAGAGGGAACGTACATCGACCCCCATATTGGGAAGAAATTTGGTGCCGGTTCTACCACTTTGCCAAGCTGGCTTGGCGCGGCAGCGGCGCTGCCTTCTTCTCCCCGCCTCGTCTCCCAGTCACTAACCCGGGGCACGGCTCTGCGGCCCCGACCCCGCACCGGCGAACATCCAGCCCCGCTCTGCCGGGCTGTCTTGGATAAGGAGGGGGCCCAGGGGAGCAAAGGGGTGAGGGACAACCTCCCCTGTGCCTCCCTAAAGCCCTGCGTGGTTCTCGCCCTCCTGCTCCACACGTCCGTGCTTCCAACAGCGCACACGGCGCCTCGCTGAAGATCCCCTGCAGGCATCGCCGTCCCCGTCGGACAGCGCTGCGATGACACAGAATAACTCAGCTATGAGTCATTCACACGCACACACCCATATATATAACACATATATATGTATGTATATGTATGAACACACCTCCCGCGGCCGCCGCGGGGGGGCCGCGTGTCGCCGCGGGACGGGGCCGCCAAGCATCGACCTGCCCCGCGAAGGCAGAATTAACTGCAGGAAAAAAGGAGCAAAAGGGATCGCGGGGAACCCGCCGCCGGAGCCGCCTCTCAGCAGCCCGCTTTCCCTGGACGGTGCCGCAGCCAGGCTCGCCGCAGCGAGCGCTGCGGGATGCTGCGGGCAAGGAATCCCGCGGATCTGAGGCCGCTCAGCGTAGCGTCCGCACCTGCTTGTTCTGCGGGAGAGCCAGCCCGTCGGGGGGCTTTTGCTAAACTAGGAGCGGGGGGATCAGCCGTGGTCTCATCCGCATCCTCTGGGCCCCCTTCCAGCTCTTGGAAATGTTTTTCGTCAGTTAAGCTGAGAACGTCAGGGAGGGTGGTCACGATTAAAGTCCGGTAAAAGGCGTTTGAGCTTTGCTTTACTGCAGCTCCTCCGATACCCCTTTTCCTGTTAACTGTTCTAAGCTCCTTGTAATGAAAAGTGATTTTCACAGGCATCTTACAGTTAAGGGATCTTCAACCAAGCTGGTGCAAACAAAATGTTTCTGTTCATTATGAGTTCCTTTTATAAATATTACCTTCAATAATGTGCAGTGAGCCATTTGAGGGGGGAAAGGATTTAAAAAGATGGCTTCGTGCAGGTTAAATGCAAAGATAATAAAGTTGCTTTGAAGAATAAAGTTAACTGTCGAGTTGATAAATGCATGAGAATATGCAGTGATAGGTTTCATGACTAATTAAACAGATTTGTACTGTAGTTCTCATCTCGAGATACAGATATTTATTTTTTTCCCTGTTTCTTGATACTATATTGATGTTAACAGAGTTCTTGATAGCTACAAGCTAGCCAAGATATCCACTCTATTGTGATTCTACTGAAAGACTGACTGCTTTGAACTGACAGTTCTCCTGACAAGAGTGAAAAAATAAATGATCACAACTATACATATGTTAAGACTGGGATGATTGAAATATATGTCTGAAAATTGAAAAAAATTAAATGTAATGAACCAAAAACTAATCAAAGTCAAAGACAGAAGTAAAGTGGAACTGTAACCCTCTTCACTCATGCTTTGCTGAGAAAGTCAACACTCAACACCAGAGAGCAGTTTTAAAACAAGTGGAAACAAATAATATTTTATGATCTTTTAACTACTCTGTCTAGAGCCAGTCCCACATTCAAATTCCAACAGGGACAACCTCCTCAGTTTTCACTATTGAATCTGCCTTTACATACCTCAAACCAGGGTATAGATTAATTGGTACATATATTCCCCTGTCTATAGGAAGATCTGACATCTTTCATGGAGACTTCTCGCTTCTTTCTTTGTGTGATGATGAAGGGTAGGATAGCTTAAACAAAAAAGTAAGTTTCATTTCACAAGAGGAAGCTGTTATATTTTTAATGCAGGATCTTTCAAACTATTGCTACATTTCTTAGAATATGTAAATGTTACAAGTTTCATTGTCAGTAAGACTATGCTAGAGATGAACTCTACTAAACCATGTGAAAAAAGTGTGCAGTGCTTTTAATAATTATCGAACACATGATTGTATGAAATAAGCGTGACAATTTTACACATAATTAGAAGGTGACATTTATGTTGTATTTTTGCTTCAGGCAGCACAAACACAACAGAAGATTCTTACATATATAGAAACCAGATATTAGATAAACTTATGATGTAGTCAAGAACATGAAGCAATCTTTAAAGTCAGAGTGGGTGAGCCAGAATTGGTTTTGTGTAGTTTGGGAAATGTTAGTTAAGAAATTTCACATAACAAGATGATGGTAGATTGGCTCCTGTTCTAGATTTTGCAGCTTCAGCAGCCTGGCACCACTTAAGTCACCAACAATGGTGGAGTGACAAAGGAGGAACAGCATTATAAGTGGAAGAAACAGAGGATAAACAAAAAGATAAAATTGCATTGTTTAAGAAATATGAGAATTAAAGAAATAATGTCACCCAACAAGCAAGCAACATCCTTTGTAAAATTTCATTGACTATCTATCTGCAATAGGTCATTTGTCTCCTTTTCCCTTAGCAAAATTACTATAGTACCCAATCTCTTTTTTTTTTTTTCTACTCAAAGTATAGCTCACTTTGATTGTGGGCAGAGATTCTGACATTTGGAAGCCAAACACTGATGTGTATGTCTGTCACACATGAGCCTATTGGTGAAAGTGCTAGGAAATAAAGAGCAGAGAACTCAGGCTTGGGAAAAACTGCATGGGAAAAGAAAGTACTAGTAGCAGGGGGGAAAATAAGATGAATATATGAGAAAGATGTTAAGATGCTTTGGGAGATAGAGTGGAGAGTGTTTTTATCCATCACTGCAACATTGGATTTTCTGTTCATGTAGCAGGTCCTATCACCTCTGGTAACACATCATGGCTGATGGGTTATTAATTGACTCTGTGAGAATAGAATTAACCTATTTTCAATATCCACTTTTGGAAAAGATAACAATCAGAGTAGCAAGTGTAACACCCTCTAGGACAGGTGTCACACACTTTATAGTAAGTAGGTCACAAGATCATCTAAAGCTGTCATCATTGGTACTTCCTATACTGAGGTACAAATGAGGAGCACATTCCCAATTTCTGCTGGCATTGTTTAGTTTTTAATTTCCATTCCCAGACTGATAATAATCCACACAACCATGTCCAGAAAAGTCTATTAATATATTCCTTCATTTCCCCACAATCAGTCTAAACTAAGCTTCACAAAAATACTCCATTTACCAGTATCTGGCATCCTTATGTAAAATAATGTGTCATTTTTCACCATGGCTTGTAATCTGAAAATCTGACTGGGGAAATGATGGAGACCAAAATAACTTCTTACAGTCTGTAGGTGGCCAAAAAATCTGCAGCTATATTCCATAATATTCTTTGCTGCTGTGATTTGTTTCTCAAGAGCTCTTGTCAATCCGTTTAAAATTCTCACTCACATAGGCCCAAAGAGAGACATAGGGTTTTGTTCAGACTAGAACCAAATATGCTTATATATTAAAATCCTTCTTTTCACATGTAAACAGGATATTAGCAATTCCATAAATTCTACATGAATTTTTACTTTGAAATTTGGGGGGTTTCAAATCATCTCAAAGCTTGGAGTATTTAAACCCATCTATATTGAAACCAAACAGCAGAGAATCTCAAAGAAGTGAAACTGTGAAATTCATAGTTTTAATTTTCTCATTAATCCCAAATTTTACACCAAGCCTGTGCATCATATTTAGTACTGTTATTATTTATGCTAGTCTATAATTGATTTGCATCTCATTAATGGATAGTTTCAACTTAGAAGAGAATTTGGATAAAACTGTAACAGGATTTTAACTACTTTCAAGGAAATTATCTGCAGAGTTATCTGCCTTAGTAATTACTTTATTAAAATCAATTATCACAAATTAAAAGGGACATGTAGCAAAATGTAGGATCTAAGAAAATTATCAATTAGCTTTTTCTGTATTATTCTCAGTAAAAAAAAATCTTTGCATTATCACAATTATCCTATTTCATCACCAAAAGAAGATAAAATTCTCTTATATGCATCTAAAAATCAATTTTACACATAGCAAAGTTTGAAACTAATTTCTTTTTTCCACTTGGAAGAAAAAATAACTGATAAAAGTATCTTTTGAAAATAAACTAATA